GTTTCAGCCGGTAGCGAAACAGCGGGCGCGCTGCGCACGGAGCGCTGAAGACTTGTGCGATTGTGTCCCTGGTTTTTGCTTCCAGCCATGACCATGCAGTTCATCAGTCACCGCTTCCCGGAGGATCACGACCCCACGATCGGTAAGGAAAATCTCTTTGCCGTTCGCTCCTTCTCTGAGCAGGTTGAGCCGTTGCAGAGTCCGTTGCTTTAAAGTGCTCCGTTTAGAGAGCTGTGAATGTGGCTGTAAGTTGCGGACTCAAATCCCTTAAATTATCAATTTGAAGGTATTAAGAATTCTGAGGCTGCTGTGAGGACTGGGATATGTATCCTGAGTTTTAGATGTTTAACGGTTTTCCTATCACGTATATTTAGGCCATCCGCTGTCTGTGTGTGTTTGTACGTGGGCAGACATGTGAAGAACTGCTGATGAATTATTATTAGTTGTCTATTCAAAAAATCTAGTCTCTGTGCTGCAGATCAGCTCTCTGCTGTTAATTTGTCAGGCCCAATTCTGCTCCGTGTTTTAGAAATTGGGAGGGATGAAAGTGTGTAACAACTTACTACGTTGTTGCATAACTTTGCAGCAGCTCTGAGAGAAACCTTAACCAACGGTTAGACTGCCAAAGGAAAAGTGGGAAAAACCACCAGCTCCTTGTTGAAGGTGGAGTGTTGGAGTGCTGACTTTGAGGGACAGAGTATTTGTTATCTTGCTTTTAAAATGGCTGTTGGGGTGGCCAGTTCTTCTCTTGATCACAAGTATTTTCTGGCTTTGGGAAACATGTAACGCTCTCACTCTGTGCTTTCCACCAGGGTGTCCAAATTGAATTTACAGGATGTAGTCATATGTCCCTCAGAAATAGCATGTACAACAGCATGATTTTAGCAAACAGTTGGGAGGTTACAGAATCACACAATTAAAAATTGAGCTGGTTGTTAAACGAAGAACGGGCTGATATCGTATAGCAATATCAGCAGGTTAGGTTCTTCTAGGGCAACGTTCTCTTTGTGAATCGATGGCTAACGAGTGTTGCAATTGTGTTCCAACCTTGTTCCTTCCGCCGTGCTGTGGACTCCCAGAGGACGCTTATAAAATACGAATACGCATCGACGACGAGCCAGCCAACCTGGATATCTTGGACACAGCAGGACAGGTAAGAAGTGAATTCGGAGGATGTTAAGAAGTCTGTAATGGTCAGGTGTAGAGACAGAAAACCTGTAAAAGTATGCCTGTATTTTCTTCCAAATTATTTTCTGAGCCCTCTGGCTTCTCCTAAGCATCATGTTGCTTATAGCATCTGCATGGTACTCTCTGTGTTTAGGCAGCTCAGACGATACTCTGCTTTCATGCAAGGCTTTCTCCCCTGCACCGGTGTTCATGGCCAGCAAGCAACACATACTGGCTGATAAATGACATGTTGGTATGATCTCTGTTGCGAGGGAAACTCCGTGTTACTCCAAAACTTATGTAATATCTCGTCCTACGTGTGATGGGACTAGAAGATAGATGACCAGCGTGTTCACAGAGTTCCTATGCAGCTGGTTTCGGAATGCATATTGTGTTTCCCTTTCTGAGCAAACTTAGAAAGTCGTTGTATTTGTGCAATTGAAATGTAATTGTCTGTTTCTAGGCAGAGTTTACGGCCATGAGAGACCAGTACATGAGGGCTGGCGAGGGATTTATCATCTGTTATTCCATCACAGACCGGCGCAGTTTCCATGAAGTCCGTGAGTTCAAGCAGCTCATCTATCGCGTTCGACGCACCGACGACACTCCAGTGGTGCTGGTGGGAAATAAATCCGATCTGACACAGCTGCGGCAGGTAACCCTCGGTTGCACGTTGTTAAATGCAGTAATACAGGAGGTTAGATTCCTTTTCTTATGTTTTTGCGCGTTTATATATAAGAAATTGAACAGTAGAGAAGTATTTGTTTAAGCTGGAGCGTGTTGAAAACCACACGTGTACAGCAGTCACAAAAGTAAAGTTTTCAAGCTGATGCTTTGGGTTTCAGCTGCTCTTGAGTTGTTTTTTTTTCATTTCTGAAAGGAGATACTGTTGATAGAGATGTAGTGTTCCGTAAACGACCTGCAGGTAGTGGCACAAATGGCAGGTACAAATGCACTAATGGATGTGTAATAATGGAGAATTCGGATAAGAATGGGCAGGAAGGAAAATCACTTTCAGCTCAAGAAAGCAGTAACTGCCGTCTGTAGGCAAACAGCTGGAAGCAGAGCTTCACTCAAAGCAAACGTTTTGAAAAACAAGTTCAGGAGGTGCTGTTATTTATCTGGAATCAGATGAATTTTCAGTGTGCGTTGCAGCAAGATTATGGTAGCTGTGGTAGAACACCCGTGCTAAGAGTGAGTGAGTGGGTGAGGAGTGGATGTTGTTTTTCCATGGCCTTGGCAAGACGGGTGGGTTTTTTTTGTTGTTTTGGTTGTGTTTTTTGAAAGATTTTGCTTGGTTCTGGGAAGTAGTGTGCCAAACATCACAGATTTTGCCCAGGAGAAGGAAGTACCCTTAGCTTATCAAACTGACAAATGCTCGTGTTAGGGCTGAGGACTGCTCATGTTAGGCAACCTCTGGATTAAGCTCCAAGAAAGGAATATTCTTTCAAAGGACTTTGTTGTTTCATGAACGTCCAGAGAGTCTCTTACAGACGATTGCATTGCTGGAGAAGTGATGGGTGAAAAAGAAAGAAAAACAGGTTTGTAGAGAAAGATTTAGAGGTTGGGGGACCTGAGCTGCGGTGGAACCGGGAGGGTGCGTGCCCAGTTGCAGAGCAAGCAGAACAAGAAATGGTAAAAAAATAGAATCACAGAATCATAGAGTGGTTTGGGTTGGAAGGGACCTCAAAGATCATCCAGTTCCAAACCCCTGCCATGGGCAGGGAAATAAACTTTCTGGTTCTGGCTTTCTTGACAAGCATGAACTTTTTTCCAGGTCTCCAAAGAAGAAGGCTCTGCTCTTGCACGAGAGTTCAACTGCCCTTTTTTTGAAACGTCGGCTGCGTACCGCTACTACATCGATGACGTGTTCCACGCTCTGGTGCGGGAAATCCGCAGGAAAGAAAAAGAAGCTGTGATGGCAATGGAAAAAAAATCCAAGCCTAAAAGCAGCGTGTGGAAGAGACTGAAGTCACCGTTCAGAAGGAAGAAGGATTCAGTCACCTGAGCAGAGAGAATTGCTCTGCAAAATAAAATAAAACCTGGGAACAGCCATTTGTGACCAAAGCCGTTTGGTGACAACGTTTCCACAGTGTGTTTTCAACCGGATGGGGCTTCTCTGAGGGAACACATACTTTTTGCCAATCGTTTTTGTTTAGAACGATATTCTCTTCGTTTTGGATATTTAACTTGAGACGCAGTAACCGCTGTACTTCTGTTTGTTGTCATTTTTTTACTGGATCCAGCAAACGTTGCTTGTATGTCGTTGGTTACGAATGCTGGCAGGTTTATGTCCCTGCACTTTTGGATGTTTGTGAAAGCTGAATTGTGTAAAATATTGTTGAGTTTCTACCCAGCCTAACTTAATTAATTTTTTCCTAGTTGTTTGCACAAGAGAATTTTACTGCTCTCCGGAGCGAGAGGCGGTTTGTCGAGGTTGTGCTGAACAGTTTACAAAGCGTGCGTCACGACCGGCAGCCGTGGCTGTGTATAGGTGTCACTGAACAGAGCTGTGCCAGAGTTCTTGTGTCCTCATGGAATGGGGTTTTTCCAGCAAAAGTAACGTGGAATACATGTACAAGTTTATCCAAATTACCAGTTGAACAGCAGTGTTGTAGGTGGGATTCTAAACAAGTCAGAAAAAGCAAGTTGTGGTTCCTGTGGCAGTTAGAACGTGGCAACAGTGCATGAACACGGAGTGTTTTCCCTCTGCGTGCAGCAGTTGCTGTGTTGCCACAGCATGTGCAACGCAATGATGCTGTAGAAACTACAGCTTTGAGGTTTCTGACTGGTTTGTTGAAAATCGTGGCTGTAGTGGTGCGCTGGCTTATTTATTTACACTCAGTTTTCTGTTCTTGTCTTAAAGGAGCCAGTATCTTCGTTAGGTAGACGTCTCCAGCGTAGTCATTTCAAATTGTTCTGTGGTCGCCACTTTTGTAGAGAGTGACTGAGGCTGAGGTATCTGGGCCCAGAATTCAAGTCCCACATACTGCTAAGAGTCTCCCAGTGCAGTCGTAGAAGCAGAATTGCCGGTGCGGTGGAAGGAAGTTGTTTGCTGGGCACAGTGGCATCCTGACAGATACCACTTCCTTGACCCGACGCGTGCCGGCAGCGCAGGTACAGTGAGGAATGATTTGGTTAATGAAGTGCTTCTGCAGCACACGCTCCGCACGCAGAGATCCTCTGCTGTGGAGCTGATTGACTTGTGCATCAGCTGTAGAATTTGAATCCAGCAGAGAGAGGAACGTCTGGTGTTCCTCTCGATTTAGTTTCGTAGGTGACAGAACAGATCATGGGTAGGTAACGCAGACATGGTTAAAACGAGTTGCTCAGAGAGCCAAGTGCCTGGAGTCGTTCAGCGTAGTGCAGCTTCCGTTCACCCGTCATCTGTGTCAGCAGCTGTTCATCGTACTGGTCAGATACCAGATCTGTGGTGTCAGCCCCAGTGTGCCGCATGCCACAGTGCAGTCAAAACTGAAAATTCCTGTGTAAAAGGCTTAGTACAAGAAGTCAGGATAGTGAATTTAGAAAGTTAAGCTGTTTTTCCTGCTAAACTCCTTATTGCTTAAGATATGACTGGAAATTCTGTGCCTGTTGGTTTTAAGCGTATTTTCTTTGTGTAAGATTTAAAAAAACTTGTAACGAGAAATTTGGAGGGGCTTTATGTTTTTGTTTGTGGCTGAGCTAAATGTTTAAATTGGTTTCTGTTTCTCACTTCCTCCCAGTGCCCCCAGTGTTACGCTGCACTGGTAATAGCCACACGTGCGTTGTTTGAGAAAGGCTGAGAATAATCCAAATTGTTTAGAATTTCAGACATCTTTGGCGTGAACTGTGTGAGCAGTCGTGTGCCTCTTTCCAGCAGGGACTGGTTTAGCCCTCCTGTTCATTCGTTGTTGGATTAAATGCTGTCTATAACTCAGACAAAAATCCTAGGAAAACCATCTAGCGAGAAGTTTGAGGAGGAGGAGGGGACAACGGCTGAGAAGTTGCTCTAAAAGCAGTTGCCGATTGTGTCATCGTAAAAATTATTTCAGACCAGCCTTCTGGAAATGCTGAACAGGGGCCTGAGGGTGCTTTTTTCCACGTGCTTTTCTTGATACAGTGAGTTAACATGAAGCACTAGTCAGCTTCCAGTGCCCCCCGTTTTGGATAATGTGCAGAAGTCACCTGTGAGCAGCACGGAGGCTGTGTGGGGCTGTTTGCGCCGTTCGGTGACGGGCCTGTGCCTCCCGTGATCCCTTGGATGCAATTCCAGCGTTTGCTCACGCCTTTGCCTGCCTCTTGCTTAGTGGATTATTACAGCAGAACAGCAGCAAGCACTTTTTTACACAGTGTTATTCAAAAAGAGTTTTATTTTTGTCATGTATGAATTTGTACACAGATTATCGTTTTATTTGACACAATATATAATTTTTAATACAAACACGTGTGTTTGGTGTTTTAATTGCTGGGTAGAAGAGCATTCAGCCTGCGAGTGCCGAAGGAGGAAAGCTGGCGGCGTGTTCGTACGTTATTTTGGAGAATGCTTGTCTTGCTCAGGAGAAGAGGAGTCGGTACGTTACGCTGACGTGGTGCAGAGCCTGGAAGTGCCGAGATGTGAAGCTGGTGCCGACTGTTTAAATACGATGGATGTTGTGGAACTGCACGACTTTGCCTTCGCACGCTCTGCACGTCAGCTTTCCGAGGTGGAGCTCTGAGCGGGGCGGCAGCAGCTGCGCGAGGTGAGTGTGTAAATCCGCGCCCGGATACTCCGGGATTGGCACCATGGCCAAAGTAACCCCTCTGCGTTTGCCACTGCCTCAGTTTCTCTGCGTGTTCGTTGTTGGCAGTTCGTTATTTCGTGCTGGTGGAACGCAGCTGAGGTCAGAGTCCGTTGGGGCTTCGGTGTAGCTGTTGGTTTTGCTTCCCTTCAGGCATTTCAGGTGTTTGTCCTGCAGCCCAGTTGCCGTGTCACTCTGGCTTTGACCGCCACAAGGCACGGCCGTCACCCGCCTTGGGTGCGGGATCACGCGGGCGACGATCTGGCGACGGAGACGCAGAAGGTTTTGCTGCACACAGCAGAAACGCCTCCCGGTGCCGTCACCGGGCCTTGGGCGGCAGCGTCCCCCCGGCCGTGCCTGGGGAGAGCCGTCCGGCTGCTGGCGGCAGCGGCTTTTCCCCACCTGGACGCCCCCCCGCCGTTGTGGCAGGACGTCCCTCATCAGGTTTACAGCTGCGTGTTCTGCTGTCCAAACAGGTGAGGGGGCAGAGGAACCCCCTGGTGGGCAGGAGTCCTCTGCAGGAGTGTGACCACTTCGGCTTTTCTGGGACTACAGTTCTGGACTAAACGCAAGGTTCCAGAAGGCTGGCTGCTACGGATCCGTGTCCAGTTGACAGCCGTGAGTCATGTAAGTGGCATGCAGGTGGTGGTGGGGTTCTTCCTTTATTATCCGAGCAACCAGGGATCAGGTTAGGAAAGCCAAAGCCCTGATAGAGCTAAATCTGGCCAGGGACATCAAGGGCAACAAGAAAAACTTCTATGTCAGTGATAAAAAGGGATCTAGGGAAAACATGGGCCCTCTCCAGAAGGAAACGGGGGACCTCATTACCTAGGATATGGAGATGGCTGAGGGACTCAACAATCTTTTTTCCTCAGTCTTCACTGGCAAGAGCTCCAAGAAGGACACGGAGCTGTTGGAGCGGGGCCAGAGGAGGCCACAGAGATGATCCAAGGGCTGGAGCACCTCTGCTATGGAGACAGGCTGAGAGAGTTGGGGCTGTTCAGCCTGGAGAAGAGAAGGCTCCGGGGAGACCTTCCAGCACCTCCCAGTGCCTAAAGGGGCTACAGGAAAGCTGGAGAGGGGCTTTGGACATGGGGGGGTAGTGATGGGACACGGGGCAATGGCTTTAAACTGAGAGAGGGCAGATTTAGATTAGACGTAAGGAAGAAGTTTTTTACACTGAGGGTGGTGAGGCACTGGCACAGGTTGCCCAGGGAAGCTGTGGCTGCCCCATCCCTGGCAGTGTTCCAGGCCAGGCTGGATGAGGCTTGGAGCAACCTGGTGTAGTGGAGGGTGTCCCTGCCCATGGCAGGGGGGTTGGAACTGGATGGTCTTGAAGGTCCCTTCCAAGCCAAACCGTTCTGTGATTCTATGATCCATCACTTAACAGAAAGAATTTCTTTGTCCATCACCAGTTAGCTGATGAGGAGGAGCGAGTTTAAAGCATGCTTGGAAAGCTGCTCTTTATCCGAGAAGCTTGGAAAAACTAGAAATTAATGAAAACTTGGTAGACCTGCAAGATGTTTTTAGCGACATCAAATGACTTTGGGATATTTTCTAAGCAGTACGCAACGCAATAGTGATAGCTTTGGTAGTGTTACCTTCTTCCTGTCTGCAGCTTTCATCCCATTATTTCATAGTACAGCACCTTTCTGAGCCTAGTAGGAAATATTCCGTGTCTGTGTAGCTTTTAATACCTGGAAAGCCGTGACACATCACGGCTCGCTCCATTTCCCAGACTAGTTCAGCATATATTGAACGTCACTGACTGACCACGTGTTCTCTCGGGGCTTCCCAGTAACTGATCTGTGAACGAACAGCGTCACCTTCCCCGTGCTCCTTCTGCTTTCATCTTTCTTCAGAGTTGATGACATTCCTTCTTATTCCAGGACAGCTTTGCTTAAGAATCATAGAATCACAGAACGGTTTGTGTTGGAAGGGCCCTCAAAGATCATCCAGTTCCAACCCCCTGCCGCGGGCAGGGACACCCTCCACTACACCAGGTTGCTCCAAGCCCCATCCAACCTGGCCTTGAACACTTCCAGCGATGGTCTCTGGGCAACCTGCTCCAGTGCCTCACCACCCTCAGAGGGAAGAATTTCTTCCTTCTATCCAATCTAAATCTCCCCTCTTTCAGTTTAAATCCATTGCCCCGTGTCCTGTCACTACACGCCCTTGTAAAAAGTCCCTCCCCATCTCTCTTGTAGGCCCCCTTCAGGTACTGGAAAGCTGCTATAAGATCCCCCCG